GTTATTGCGTTCTAGCAGCTAGCAATTCTTTGTCTCCTTGGTGTATGCTAAGAGAGAGATGTGCACTGTATCTTTTTTTTAATCATATTGTCAGATATTGATGATTGATTCGTTTGAACATAGATGCTAGCAAACATACCATTCTCATAATAAGTTAACCTAACCCCTTGCAGTTTCTAATTAAAAATATATAAATAAGATGACTGGTGTAAATTCAGGGAAGAACTACATTTAAAGGCGTATGTAAACTTATGACCATAACTGTATGCATATAGATATACAAATGCATACAGTATATATGGTGACGTGACATGTGGCCAAGTATGGTGACCCATACTTGGAATTTGCGCTCTGCATTTAACCCATCCAAAGTGCACACACACAGCAGTGAACACACACACACCGTGAACACACACCCGGAGCAGTGGGCAGCCATTTATGCTGCTGCGCCCGGGGGGCAGTTGGGGTTCAGTGCCTTGCTCAAGGGCACCTCAGTCGTGGTATTGAAGGTGGGAGAGAGCGCTGTACATTCACTCCCCCCACCTACAATCTCTGCCGGTAAGAGACTCGGCGAGTCCAACTCTCTAACCATTAGGCCACGACTTCCCCCTATAGCACATATAGAAGCAGAATATATTCTACAAATATACATACAGAAAATAAAGTGTGTTTGTGAGAGAGAGAGAGAGAGAGGTTGAAACTAATTTCATTCAGAAATTGCTAGTAAATTTCACAATTAATTACAAAGAAATGGCAATAAACACACTGCATTAAACATGAAATTTGGAACTAGAAACACTGAAATGGTATTTCCTCATAAAATGTATTCCAATAATTGTTGTTTAAAGGGGTCATATGATGCTGCTAAAAATAACTTTATTTTGTGTATTTGGTGTAGTGAAATGTGTTTATGTGGTTTAAAGTAAAAAAAAACACATTATTTTCCACATACTGTACATTATTGTTTCTCCTCTATGCCCCGCCTTTTTGAAATGCGTCGATTTTTACAAAGCTCATCGGTCTGAAAAAGCGAGGTGTGCTCTGATCCAGCTATCCAGTTCGTTGTGATTGGCCGAATACCTCAAGCGTGAGACGGAAATGTTACGCCCCTCACATACTGTGATGACGTGTCCCAGCTGGAGCGACGACACAAAAACATTAAAAACCATTACAAACGAGGCATTTGTTGCATCCAGTGGGGACATAATTGCTGATTATAATGACTTATACTGTCTTTTTACGCGTTGCGTTGCATTGCATCGTGCCGCGTAAACATAAAACCCTGTCTGCATTTGTGATTGGAGAAATGACAAACAACAAGTGCTACTCCACACTGCCCAAAACTCGCGTTTGAATCATCAGTGGCAACGAAACACACAGCGTCTTCACGACATGGCGGCAGCTGCGGGCCACATGTGTCTTTTAAGGGTGGCAGATTGTCAGATTGGAGATGTTGTGGAAGAGAACGCTGTGAAACACAGAATCTGGATTAACCCACAGTATTCCCAGACAGTATTGTAGCTGGCAGTCTCATTGTGACAAATGGTGCTGTTTTGCCCCAAACCGACTTAATTAATTTTATATTAGTGACAAATGTGGAATAGAGCAGATGGAAGAAAACCCTTTTTAATGTATAATCAATATGCTTTAAGATAACATATAATAATGCTACAGAGCTGTTCAGTATATTAAAAGGTAGTAAAAATAGATAGATGCCTATTTTTCACCTTAGGTACACCACATTGGCCATTCTAAATGTTTGCAAATGATTTGAAAAACAGCTGGATGCAAATAAATAGTTCCCTTTTAAACTCGGAAATTAGGTTTTTAGATTTTTTACATTTGAAAAGTTACAGTATGATATTAAAGTAATATTTAAATTAATAGTTCACCACACACACCTTCAGGCCGTCCAAGATGTAGACGAGTTTGTTTCTTTATCAGAACAGATTTAGAGAAATTCTATACGTACAAGCTACACAATGTGATGAAGACCTGATTCAACCTAGTTTAGGAACAATAGGTAGTAAAAATGTTGCTCTCCTTGTCCTACAATAGGAGAAGGGTCAGTACAGTACATCTATCTGGGGAATGCGTGCAATTATAAATAACAGCTGCTCAACACCAAGCAGAACATTCTTGTGGATTGAATAAAAAAGGGGGAAAAACAGCTGGATGCAAATAAATAGTTCCCTTTTAACCTCGGAAATTAGGTTTTTAGATTTTTTACATTTGAAAAGTTACAGTGGAGAGGGGGAGGGGGAGGGGGGGGGGAGGAGGAGGGAGAGGAGGAGGGAGAGGAGGGAGAGGAGGAGGACAATGGCGAAGAAGGAGGGAGAGGAGGAGGAGGAGGGAGAGGAGGGAGAGGAGGAGGACATGGTGAAGAAGGAGGGAGAGGAGGGAGAGGAGGAGGACATGGGGAAGGAGAAGGGAGAGGAATTGGTGAAGGAAGAGGGAGAGGAGGAGGACGTGGTGAAGGAGGAGTAGGAGGAGGAGGAGGGAGAGGAGGAGGGAGAAAGAAGGGCAAGGAGACAAGCAGTCTCAGATGAAATTTGAGCCACTTTAGTTGACCATGTCCTTGTCCATGGTATGACTATGAGGGAGGCTGGGCAAAATTTGTACAGCCAAATTTGAGTCGCTTCACCGTCGCCTCCATCATCAGAACCTTCAGGGAGGAAAACAGGTAGGTGTACTTACAGTAAGACTGCTCTGTACAGTAACTTTAGAGTGCATACACTGTTGCACTATGCTACTGTAATAAAGAAATGCATCAAATTGCCTCGCATACAGATAGAGTTTCAGTATGTTTCCATTTTTTCCTGTACAGTAATGAGTGCTTCTATTTTTGTAGGACACAGAGACGACCACCTGGTGGAGGCAGGCTAA